TGTGGTTGTAGCTTTTGTGGTATATTGAACAATTTTTCTTTCATAATTTCATGATTTTGGAGCATTAAAAAACATTAATTGGATGAATATTTCAGATTAAAAAATATTTTTGTTGTTGTTGTTTGCATCAAATAAAAAACAGAGCCAACAGGCATTGCATCTTATAAAAATATGCAAATGTATAATTACAAATTCCAATCATATTTAAAAAAAACAAACACTGATGTATAAATAATGCAACCCAATAGCTCCTGTGCCAAGAAATCAGTCAAAGATAATCAAGCTACCAACATACACGAGTACCATATATTCATAACAATTATTATATAAAACTATATGGTGCCATATAGTTTTATATAATAGATGCATAAATAATGTGGATGTGGCCAGTATATAAAACATAGACTACTATTATCCCTTTAAATTTCCTTACGTGCTGTAAATATATCTAAATTCAAAATCTGAGATCAATCCACCTGTCAATTCAACAGACCTCTGTCAATGTGCCAACTGCAGAATTAAAGTCCAGAGGATGGACTTCAAGTTCTTCATAATTACAGGATGGGCTTTCATCTTTTATTATACAGTTCGCAACTATCCCCTAATAAGGACACACTGAACTGAAATAGCAAAGTGACAAAGACTAGCGAAAACGATATGAAAGAAAATGTACAGTCCTTGTATGAAAAACAAGCAACCGGTGACATTGCTTCTTAAAGGACAAAGAGAAAACTGAAAACTGGAAGTGCAGATGCACTTAAAGTAAAGTTCTGCAGCACATATTTGGCTTAATGTGCTCCCATTAATGTCCTCCCATTAAACAAATAGCTTAGGATAGGGGATTCAGATTAGGTCTTAGAGGTTTAAGTATTACAACAAGCATGAAACTAGAACTAGAGGCAGAAATGTTCTTGTCAAGTGATGGGGGGGGGATCACTTCTAATGTTTATCCCACATCCGGATCGCTGCTGTGTACTGTAAAAATTGTGCTGAAAAGTTCAGCAAGTGCTGAAGGTCCATCGCTTTAAGTTTTATCGTTATTGAGTGCTACATGAAGGTTGCAGGTTAGGATGAGGTTAAGAGTTAAAGAACAAATCCAGGCAAAATGTGCTTGTTTTCATCTAAGGACTAAAATAAAAAAGTAATACTCACCCAAGCCTCAGAGCAAGCCAGCTTTCACGGCACTCCACCCAGCCTGTCATCTGGGGTGAGTGAGGCTGGATGGACCGGTCTAAGTGCAAGCAGGCTTTGGAGGATTGGGTGAGTATAACCTTTTTATTGTAGTCCCTAGACGAAATTGAGCAGTTAACCCATGCAGTGTAGGGGTAGTCCCATTGCAAAGGTTAATACAAAGTTTGCTCAGAGTTCTGCTTTAAATGCAAGAAAATTGATGAGGGACAGTTGCAGAAGTACCCAGACACTGGGAGGTAAACTGGCCAAGGACCCAACTGAATGAACAAAACAGCCCTCCACTTGAAGAAATAGGGGTGCACCTTCATACAGGAGGATTACCAGAAGAGTGGGAAAACCTCGGGCTGTAAGCACTGCAGTCTACGTTAGAGGCAGGTTCTGAATGTCATAGGCAATGGTTGCAGTAGAAGATTTAGAATAAGGAAGGGGGGGGACGGCTGTGACCTTTCCACAGACCTCCAGTGTTGAGGCAAGGGCATGCCCTGGCTGTTGGTGGCATTGATAATGACAGTGCCAAGAGCATGTCCAGAAAGAGACGTTGCTCGAAAGGCAACAGAGTCAGATATTCCTTTGTAGAATCATCAGCGTTTTAAACACAGAGCAAGATTCCCCTATGCATTTCCTCAGAGATCAGTCCAAGTATAGCCTTCAAAGCTAGTTTTTGAGGAGCTGCTGATTGCTGCTATGTAGAGACCAGCTCAAGCAGAGGTACTGAAAGAAATCTTGATTGAAGTCACTGAGGAAAACACCAGCAGTATGAAAATAATCTTGATTTAAGTCACAAAGTTTAGCAAGATATAAGTTATACTTTTTCAAGCAGAGCTGAAAAAAAGGCATCCAAGCCCCTAGGAAAGTAGCAAAGAAATGAGGCATGCTGGGTAAGGGAGGGGTATATGGGGGTTGACCTACAACTTTTTCTGTTTGCCAGTGTCCCAACCACCTGTAGGTGGAAGTATAACCTCACTTTAATAGACGTCCTGTGTTCTTCAATGGATAATAAGGAAAATACTTTTAATTATTTATTTTGAGTACAGAGTTGCATTAAAAAAAAATATTTTCACTGCTGCGTTTTAATGCCATTACATGTGTTACAAAGAAGACTGTCAGAGAGTGACATAGGTTCCTTACTACACAAAACTTGGATAAACACTGCTTAAAACAAAAAGAAATAAAGCAAGGGTGTCACTAATTTCTTGCTGAAAATGCCAGTTTCCGGGCTGTCCCAATTGGTCATTACTTCAATGATCCTGTTGATCCTTTCAAAATCCAGTCCTGCCCTGTGTCATATTTACTCTGCAGTCTGTTATTAGCCTTTCCCAATCCACCTTGGATGATTCTATAGCCCTCACACACACTTACAGTTCTAGAATGACAATGGTGATCCACCATAGATACAGTATGGTAAGTGAGCGTTGTCACCCTAGGAGAAGAGGTACATTACTGCCAGGTTCACCAGGTAAAAATAAAGGGAAAACCTGCCTGAAAAAAGGAAAAGAATGCAGTCACCACATCTGTATCAGGACTGGCTAGCTGCAATATACTGTATTTGGGTTTAGATACACTTAAACTGCTTAAAGGGGAACTATGGGGTTAGGACTTTTCCCCATAGTTCTCCTTAGGGTAACGGGAGGACACAAACTAGCGTCCTCCAGTCACCCTAAGGTCAGTATACCGCGAGATACAGCTTGCGGTATACTGAAACGCCGCAGCTGAAGCGGATGCCGACAATTATGTCGGGATCCGCCCAGCTGCGTGAGTGACAGCTGGCTCTGCCTATCTAGAGGCAGAGCCAGCTGTACCCGCCCCCTCGCCCGTCCGTTCCGCCAGCCAGCGCTGGAGGATCGGTGCGGGGAGGGGGGAATCCAGCTACTCCCCTGTTACGGCAGAGAGCTGTGGCAGGATCGAGAAGTGAGCGAACGCCGGTATGTGTTCGCTCACTTCCCGATCTACTGAGCCGACCTGTGACAGTCTCATTGTCACAGGTCGGCTAGAACTACGAGGTGAGTGAAAAGCACTCACCTCATGATTCTCCTTTAACAGAGTTGAAATTAATGTTAATTCGAAGTACACCTTCAGATGCATGTAGCGCCAGATGAGAAAATATAAATTTAGGGTAGTCCCGTTTCAGGACTTTCCTGTTTACAAAATATATTATCAAATTACCAGGGAGCACATTTAAAGTTAAAAAGGTTAAAGGCAGATTAATTGTCTCTTGTCTAAGGTAACTATGGAGTGCTTTAGTCCTTGAATCACAGGTTAAAAAAAACTGCTACCTTAATTAGTGCAGGGAATGCTAAAGAGAGAACTATCTGAAAAGCTGTATAGAATGCAATGTAAGACTGATACATGGGAAAAAAATTGCCTCTTCCATAAAGGTTAGACAATGGCTGAATTCATAAATATAGTGCACTGATCAATAAATTAAATTAGGTAATAATTTACATGTTAATAGATGTCTTCTTTAATTTTGTGCAATAAATGTCAAACTGAACTAAGGATGAACTTCACTCCCAAAAATGTCCTGCTTTTAAAATTTTTGTTATATAGTCCAGAAAATAAAAAAAATTAGAACGACTTGTGGCTGCCCCCAGCTCCTCCCCTCACCCTGCTGGAATCCCTCCGTGGTTCCTGGGCTCTTCCCCTCCTCCTAGGAGCACAAGACCACTACAAACAGTCAGGACGGTGAATGGAAGGACATAAAGCAATATCTGTTCCCTGATGTGCTCTGCAGAGTGTAAACCTGGAAGCACTCAGCTCTAAGCATTTCCTGGTCCAGAGCTGTCAAAATCCTTGCTTAAAAGTGGGGGGGAAAAGCTGTTCAAGCACAGTCCTGTGTTTGTTTGGCTAGAGAAGATGATACATTAGGGGGTCTAATAGACCCCTGATGTCCCCATAAACAGTACCTGTCACCTGCCCAATGCTATCACATAGGGGGCTTGTTATCTTACTTGTGATAGCAATAAAGTTAAGTAAACAAAAAAAGTGTTAAAATGTATATATTATATTAAAATAAATTTAAAATAAATGTAAAAGCACCCCTGTTGCCCTGCGCACATACATAGGTTTTATGTAATTTTCTAGCCCAAAATGCAGACTTTTGAACATGGAGACATTTGAACAAAAAATGCAACGGAGATGAAGTGGCTAAATCAGCAGGTGGAGTTTTAAGTTGTTTTCTCACAGTTTTCCCTCTATCTCTTTAACACCTCTGCTAAAAAAAAAAGTGTCCCTCATCTGATGGCTCGGGCAGATATTTTAATGAGACGAAACATGCTTAAAAACAGGCACTGTCCCCCATTCGGTCTTCTTAAGTAACCCCTAGAGCTGTGGGAAAACTGACTCAAAACTATTATAGTTTACCTTGGAAAACGAAACAGCTAAAGCTACAATGTACTGCACAAAATAGTTAAAGGTTGTTAAGTACTTTCTTCATTGTGTAGAATGCTTTGTAAATGATCTCCAAGTCCAGTATTCTCTGCATCAAATGTTTAGTTGCAATTAGTTGAATAACCACCGTGGGTATGGTAAAGTATTCCAAACAAAGAAAGGAGGATAACTATTATAGAAAAAGAAACCTTGATTATGTGACTGCCTTTGTTTCCAAGACAAGGCACCACACAAGACATAAAAAAGTACTGGCATTACATATTTAAGAACAATACCAGCAATATCCCTGCACATCCTGTGACAGAAGTTGAAGATTCACAGATTGCAGTCATTCCTATTGCCAGCTGCTAAACAGAGCTGAGCAGGTAATGAGGCATTATTTTGTCAAAGTATATAAAACTGTACGGGAGCTTTGTTCTTACCTGTAACAATCAGTACCGTAGGGACACTCTGGCCTGTCATCATTGTCATCCTGACTTCCACTCTCCACGTCAAGGTAATCACTGTCACCAGGATGACTGAACTCCTGAAAGTGCACTGGATTTTTTCTGCAAAGGAAGACACAGAATTAGCAGAATTAGCAATTAGGAAGACACATTATTCCCTTGAAGAAGCTAAAATGGCTACTGCCTATCTGAAAAATCAGTTCTTTAGTGAGAAGCCAGTCTTTGTTTCTATCAATATCCCCATACTTTACAATAAATTGTGACACAGATGTCAATGTTTGTAATTATGATACAGTTCTTAACCTTATGGGGGTGCCCAAATACCTCCACTATATTCCTAAGTTCCTGAAAATACAAAACTTTATCTTAGTTAACCACAGAAAGAAATGTGGAAAATGAAGGAGACGCTCATTCCTGCTCTCTACCTTCCATCCCCCTTCAGCAACGGGTACAGGAACTTCCCAATGGAGCTAAAATGATAAAAGATGCAACACCTCCAATATATATTTTAACATGTATTGATAACAAAAAAATGGTGGAACTCCAAAACTCAGTGCCGATACGGAGTATTTGGGCAAGTACTCATGCTCGCCCAAATGCTTCGATACTTACCCCTGATACCAGAACTTCCAGATAGAGAGAGATATCCTCTGATCGGCAGTACTGCGAGGGAACATGGAGCCGGCCTCCCGGCCAATCAAAAGGCCGGGCAGCGGGTAATGACTTGCCAACCAGCTTCCTCAGTGGCCAGGAAGCTGACCCCATGCTGTTTGGCTGGGAAGTTTGCTTCCCAACCAATCAGCATGGAACCTGCTTCCCGGACAATCAGGAAGCCAGGGGGCGGGTAATTACCTGCTTCCCAGCTTCCTGGTTGGCTCCAATAAGCATCAAGCTGGCCAAACATGGAGCCTGCTTCCCAGGCAATCAAGAAGCCAGCTCTGATTGCCCAGGAAGGCGGCTCCATGCTAGCGGAAATACCGGTAAATATCAGTACTCGTACTCGAAACCATAAAAACAGTATAGGTGCATCCCTACTGGCACCTTCTTTGGGCAAAGACTTGTAGACCAGCCAGGAGCAGCATTGCTTTTTGGACTATATTTAATCATGCATAACTATTTTATTCTATCAGTTATAATGAGAGAAGAAAAGTAAGCACTTACATCTTTACTGTCAAATGTAGGAAAAGGTATGTACCATTTAATTAGATATATTATTATAAAATATTATAAAAACATTTCTACAGCTGTTACAGAATGGCTGAGTTCCTTGATGGTGACAATGAACCATGCCTGTGTGATAAATATTAAAATAGGCACTTGTGGACTCCATTAGATGCCCGTGAAACAAGATGACAATGCAGGAGTACAACCAGGAGACACGAACAGAGTGTTGTCACCCCATAAAAGGAAATGCCTGAGTGTATGAACAAGGATTTTCATAGCAGCATCATTGGACCATTAACCTCCTTGGCGGTATTCCCGAGTGTGGCTCGGGGTTAATTTTCTGTACCATAAGCGGTAACCCCAAGGGAATACACAGCGCGTCTCCTACCTTGTCCCTCGAGCCGCGCTGTGTCCTCCGGCCGGCACTCGTCTTCCGAGTTCCGTCCCTTGCTAGCGTCCACGCCGCAGGGGGGCAGAACTGGTGGGAGATTCAAAAGTTTAAAAAAACGAGAAAAAAAACGAGAAAAATACACGAAAACACATAGAACGAAAAAAAGGAAGAAAAAATCATACCGCCAGGGAGGTTAATATGTTAATTTAGATATGACATTTTAGTGCTTGTGTTTACATATACTATATATAGTTTTGTCCAAGTTTTTTAAAGTAAATTGTGTCAGATAAATGCTGTGGTGAAAAGTTCACGAATGTAAATTTTATAAATCTGGATTATCTTTAGATAGATCTTAGACAAGTTCAGTTAATATTGGCACAATAGCATGCACGAATAACAAGCTAGCACAGGAAGGAGAAGCTGTAATGATAGGCTTTTACCTATCACAGCCTAGAATCCATTCCAGCACTCCCAGATGTTTTTAGTTCTGGGGCACAGCAAACATCGGCAAACTGCCTGTTCTAAAACTATAACTGCTTGCGAGTATAAGGAAAAGGCTCCAGCACTACATGGGAGCTTTGGCTTTAATAAGTAACATTTATTGTTATAGGTTTCCCCAAAGCAAGCTTAAGAATAGGACATAATGGGCTTATTCTCTATACAGCAAAGAAGCAAAGTACTTCAGAGTGCCATAACCCAGAACAATTATTAAGAATTTCTATTATTGAAGTCATACCACACCAAGATAGACTGGTTACACCTTGCTCCTTTGACTAATCTCAGAAATCTTTAAATCAGGTACTTGGTGTGTTAAAATCATAATTTCACATGCTGATTCTACCAGTGTTCCATCATACAAATTAGATGATGTCCATGCTATGTACAAAATTAATAGTTAGGGAGTAGCTGGATACATAAACAGCATTGTGTTCCCAATAATAGTTGTCACAGCTGGTTATAAGAATTAATGATTTCTTACCACTGTATAAGCATGTGCTATTACATAACAGAATCCCACGGGGCATATAGAACCCAGCAACCATTTGTTGAGAGGATAAGGCATGACTGCCTTTGACATAATAAACATAAAAACTGCCACTTGCTGTCTCTTTTGCTGTTTTTGGCTATAAGCCTATACAGTAACACTTGGAGATTTGTGTGTGAGTCCTCATGATTATCCATTAAGTTTAAGCCCTGAAGAAGTTTTTTGGGGTCTCAGACTGTTTGTAGAATTTATACACATAAATCCTCAAATCTGGACCCCTTGCTAGAGACACCACGTTTTTGTCGAGAGCGGCCTCACCAGCGCCCATGCACTAAATCATGATCAGACTGATATTCTGATATCTGAATGCAATGCCGCATCGGCTCTAGTTAAAGACTAGTACTATGACTCAGACATTTAATAGAAGTCGGTGTACCTCTGAGCAACTCAAGTTATACACAGCCTTGAAAAACATCAGGCTCTCCAAATGGTTTGTTCTGTACTAGAATTGTATGGAGGTCAATAAAGTGAACCTAGAGATGCCTGTACATACTTTAAGTTGCTAGAGCTGCACAGGATCTCTAAATCCCAATGCTCTTATTATGTAAACAGTGACCTGGCTTCAAAGACGCACTCTAGTCTCCCCCCTCCTACACATAACTATTGGTGGGCCAATGTGATGTGCAGCCTACCTAACCAAGAGCTGAGCTAGTGAGCAGAATAGAGGTTTCCATTTCCATAACGGTGTAACGATTCCTGCGAGCACGATGGCGAGTGTTGGATCTCAGCTGCGGAGGTAAGTGGAAATGGTTCAGGAGTGAGGTTCACGGTAACACTTTAACCCCTTCATGACTGAGGCCCTTTTTTCAATTTTTGCACCCATGTTATATTCCACATTTTAGGCCAGAGTGGAGTTGGAACCCCTTACACATCATACACCATTTATCCTGGGAGCATTGAGTTGGATTCGTGTTGTATAGTCACGCCCTCAATTATATAGTATTGGGGCCGTGTTGTGATTTGTAGTTCGATGCCTTAGTTACTTCACTAAGGACTGAACTGGTCTATCTCATATGGTTGAGGAATTAACAGTCCAGGGTATATGGTGCAGCAGTGTTTGAGGAGAGAGCCAGTTAACGTCACTAAGCCCAATATGAGTTACATGCAGGTGACAACAACTATGGATAAGCAGCAATAATGGAGCAGATAGCAGAAGAGCAGAGAGGATGCAATATGAGACTTCCCCACAAGGTGGCAGTACCAACACTTCCCCTGTATATAGTATGGCAGTGATATACTTGCTGTTTGGTGAGAGTCCAGTCAGGGGAAGTGTAACTGTTCCTTGGTGCTGGGGGTAGCTGGAGGCTGGATCGATGGATCAATGGTTCCAGAGGCTGGTCACAGGGTCTCTGCTCAAGATGAGGGGTCCTAATAGCTTGCTCGACGTACTATTTTGCTAGAACGTCGAGCAAGTGTTCAGCCTCAGTTTAAATAGGCAGAGGCAATTGTTGGGGGCGGAGCCGGAGACGAGACCCGACCCGAGCGTCTCCTAGCAACGGGACGCCGCCGGGCCTCGTCCGTCGCGTCACACTGCCTGTGAGAAGGAGAGGAGGAGCGCTGCGGAACGGCCGCCCGTCGCCTAGCAACTAGACGCCGATGACGGGGCCGTCCCTGCGCTGGCCTCAGAGTCCGGAACAGCCTGCGTTCCTGACAAACGGAGTCACAAGGCTCATGAGGTGTGTACAATTTCCTCTGCAAGATGCTGACTGTACTGTTCTACATGTAAATAGCCACAGAAATATGCAAGACATAATCGTGAACTTTATGGACCCATAAGCATGACATTTAAGAAAATCACAAATCAAAACACTGAAGCATAATGAATGAGGTATTTTTGTTACACTAAAGTATTTCCTCATTTTAATAATTCAAAAATATTTTTTTCAATTTACTAAAGATTTTATCACAAAGATCATATTCATTTATCAAATACACACTATTTTATCGATTTTTGTAGTGTTTATATAGAGGTGACCTCGAAGAAATACATTTTGCCGAAGTGAATTTTTGCAAAAGTCAAATCTCTCAATTTCACTTTTTAAGCTCCTAGGTATTGTAGAAAAAAATTATCTCCTTTTTTCTTTATTTAAAAAGAGTGTTTTTAGGGTAGTTTCGATTATTTGTGTGTTCTCCTAATTTGCGTTTTTCACTTTTTGATTTTGTAATCGATTATTTGATATTATGTATTTGATTATTTAAGTACTATTGTTTAAATGTTCTATTTTACTTTTTTCACAGTTTTTTCTCCCGAAAAAAAAGTAAAACAACAAAGCTACTAGGGGCCAATTGTTGGCACATGAAGGGGTCCAGAGTAGTGGGCATGAGCTTCTATAACCTCTCAGGAGCTCTTAAAAACACCAAAAAACATCCTAATGTTGCCTTACCCATTGATTTCAGTTTGGTAAAACTTGGCTGAAATCTCCTGATTTTTGGCAACATTGCTAGGAAATGAAAACTATCAATTTCGCTCATTACTAGGGTTAAGATGCAAAGGACAATTTA